GAATGAGGACCTGATTTTGAATGGGGGGTTGCACGGTGGAGGGGGGGGGGGAGGTGGTGGTTCTGATGGGATGACTTACTGATCGTAGACGACAGATAAGTGGAAGAGGGGTTTTTTAAGACCAAAATTGAGGGGGAGAATATTTTCGATAGAAGAAATATGCCGCCATTTGTTTGATCCTGCCTGGAGAAGCCTTATACGGTATCGAACTGGTCCCAGTATTGTCCTCGAGCAAGTTTTGCTAGCAGTAATATTGCCACGATGGAGGAGGGGGTGGTTCTGTCGGGATGACTTACTGATCGTAGACGACAGATAAGTGAAAGAGGGGATGGGTTTTTAAACCCTAAATTGAGGGGGAGAATGTTTTCAATAGAAGAAATTTGCCGACATTTGTTTGATCCTGCCTGGAGAAGCTTTGTACGGTACCTAACTGGCACCAGTAGTGTCCTTAAGCAAGTTTTACATGTACTCATTGTGTCGGAACGGATTTTTCAGTATTGCTTTGTATTACAACTGATGACTTTTACGATTCCAATCGATAAGCTTTTACATTCCATAATGTTGCCTTTGCCAATTGTCCGTTCTCTTTCATACACACTATGTCTCCTCTCTCTGCCTATAGCCGGAGAATGCATTTGTCGAATGAAAATGAAACGGAAGCGAATTCGTTATCGAAGAATGTGGCATTTCAATAAAACAGTCCAGTCACTCAAATCATTCGAGCCCCTAACGTTTTCATTATGTGCATGGGCGCTGTTTCTTGCTGTTGATTCATTCCCATGGCTGACGTAATACATATGACTAAGGTGCTCTTTACCAGTAACGCTAGCGAATCAGTGCTGCTCGTCTGACTACCCGATAAACTCTCGTCTGTGTATCAACGTCCGTCAATTTTGGTACTACCTGCCTGCCCGGACAGTATGAGCTACACTTCACGCTACTCCAGTTCATACAGTAGCCGTTATGGTGATACGGGACGCGATTCATCTAGCCGTTATGGAAGTTACTCAAGCCGTTACTCAAAAGATTTAGGCAGTAGTGAGGAGTATTCCTCACCGCGTGAGTCAAAGTATGCCTCCAGCTACAGAACCAGTACGTTTTGTTTACTGTTATTACATAAACAACGTGTTCAAACAAAAAGCATCCCATTTGCATTCATTCAAATTTCAGGGACTTATGATACATTGGAAGATGATGATTCTCACAAGAAATCGGTAGAGGATGAGGTCGATTCTGCCAAAGACTACTCGTCCAGTCGCTATGGAAAGTACTCAAGCCGTTATACAACTAGTAAAGACGACACTGGTAGTGACGACTACTTGGGAACGCGGGAGTCCAAATACTCATCAAGTTATAGATCTAGTAAATTTTTCATTAATTTATTTTTTTTTTGACAAAGGTAGAGATTTTAAAAGTTCGAAACTTCCTTTGATCNAGTTTTAATACTGTATAAACTAAAGAGTATCGCGACACAACAGAAGATGTAGATGAACCGGTGAAAGCAGTTGCAGATGACTATGAACATGACTATTCTGAAAAGCGTCGTGAGTTACTATCATATTACTAATCATATAAGTATATTTGTAATGTACACTTTCAATTTCTAGTGTAATAATATTGGTTTTATAGCAGAGGAAACAAAGGAGAAAAAACTATTGAAACAGGAAAGTGAAGAGAAAGAGGAGGAGCTGGAATATCAACCCGACGACACGAATTTGGAAGTGGCTAGTGAAGATGTTGAGGAATATGCTGCTGAAGAAGAAGAAGCCGAAGTACCCGAGGAAGACGAAGTTGCACAGGTTAATGTTTCAGAGTGTCTAAACAAAAATGTCTGTATGGATATTCAGACTTTGGAAGTTTAGAATCACTGTTCAATTGCATTTTGACAATGAGACTGGGGAGTTGGCGATTTGTGATGGATGAAAAGGATTATTTGTAACATTGCGAGTTTTATTTAGCAATTTTGAGTGCTTCCGAAAAAACGATGAGGCTGCGGTATTGCCTCCTAGTAGGTAGTTACTTCGGGTGGTCTTCAAGGGGTCGACCTACAAAATAGGCAAGCGCTCTTACAATTAGAGAATCCAGTATTAAAGGTCCCTTGAGAAAAATTCGTATGATTGACCAAGTTAGGGTCTTATTAACAATTTCCTCGAAATCGTCCACTCGCAAACGCATCTTTGGAGCGACCTTACATACCACCACTACTTTGCATGTTTTTTACTCTATCAGTAATCAGATTTAGTAGTACAAATAAATGTCGTCACTATGAGGCTACATTCGAGCGTTTAGAGAAGGGTAGGTTGCCAATTCAATGGGCAACTTTACGCTCGACTGCAATGAGAGTTGAGATGGGAAAGAATTTTCGCACACACCTATGTAGGAGTTATGCAGTCTGTGTGGGCGTACATGCCCTCGGAACAAGTGCACAGCATCCCTCTCCTGTTGGTCGGATACAGAAGAAGTCGATTCATCAGTTCGTAGCAGACCCAGAAGCTGATGATTATAAAACTCTTCGAGGCGATCTGTTTCCAGAGAATGATGATGCCCATCCCCTTGTCTAAAATCGCCCCCCCCCCCCNCCCCCTCCCTTCATTCCCTTACTTCACTCATGTGTCTGGAACAGAACCTTTTCAAATCCTAACAGAACTTGGATGGTAAACGTATAATCACTTATTTGGCGTTTTATCGATTGGGGCGGATCAAGTGAAGAAGCGGTTTGGAGGTAGGTTTGTTTGGTTTAAATCTCAGTCGTTGAGTTGCTTACAATTTGACCTCCGGGAGCTATAGAATCTTCATATAATTATCAGTTAATATTTCTAGCTTTCGTTATTTTTATCGATTTTGTGCTCGAATGAAGGCTAGATAATGCGGAAAATTGATTTATATTCCTTTACAATGGTACTATTCCTATTTTCCTATTCGATCTTCCTGGGCACCATAATCTCCAGGTCATTATGACCATTTATAAGCCTTTCACCTAAAATATACCAAAAAATTATTAAATTTTACAAATATTTTTGATTTCGGGAAGAGGAAGGCGTAAAAGAAACAATACGATCTCACGCGTCATCTGTGTCATCATCGGTCCCCGCTGGCGCCGCCGAAATCGAAGAGAAGCCGAAACGTCAAATTGAGCACAAGGTACGGTTTTCAGAAGTGGGTGCTGTTTTTGCTAGATAGCGGAATTCTGTGCCCTGCCCTGGAATTTGGTATTCCTACATTTTTTATAAAGCTAGTTTTGTAGGAGTAAAAGCTGACGCCGAAGCCCTAACTCCGTTATTGAAGTTTTACTTGTAACGTGATTCGAATGATTCTGAGAATGTTCCGACAGTTTTTCTTCCAAAGAAAATGGGTTCCGTGATTTCGTTCAGGTTCCATTCTCACCTTCAACTGACAATTCTGAACCCCGTTTCCCGAAAACGCCTATAGAGAATATCGTACCGAAAAGTAAGTGGTTACTTCTACCAGACGAGTCACTATTAGAATGTGTCCGGTTGTTTGAACAAGTGATTCATATATGGGTGTGTTATTGTAGCTTCGTGTCAAGTAGTAGTATTTACAGAACGAGTTTCCGACCTTATCGCCAGATTCAACACTGGGAACATTACAAATGGACGCAGCGAACCATGGAAGGACAAGGGTACGTTGCCCAAACGGAACCAGTACAACTTTTCTCAAATAACATTTCCTTCTGTGTCAAACATCACTTCACTGTTAAGCTTGTTTGAGCCTTTACATACCAGATGTAATTTATGTTCAAATCTAGCCCGGTTTCTAGAACCCCTGCTGCACCCTACGGGATCCGTTAACAGAACTGATCGTCTTTCAATTCCGAGTATGGGGTGTGGTCGTATGTCTTGAACGTTTTGAACCTACCAACCATACAGGAAACTTCCGGGCTTTACTTCACCAGTTATTATTGATATTAAAATCTAGTCTAGTATTCATCTGCTGACACCCTTGGGATCCGTAAGAAGACCTGACCGAATATTTTCCAGTTCCAGATTAGAGATTTAGACATACCGTCTTGGACATACCATGGAAGGACCACCCTAGAAACCTGGAAGGTTCATACGTAGCAGTGGGCAAAATGTTACTTGCTCTTCAAAACCCAAAAAGCTCTGTGATGGGTTAAGGAAAAGAACCCTCTGACAGATTCTCGACCATGTGTTTTTACTACCCTAACAATATATAGGGATCTAATGCATTGTTATGGTAGAGAGTGTAGGCAGCGCAGCTAAAATCTCATAGGATGGGGTAGTGCACGGTTCGTCACCACACATTTGAACTAAAAACGAAATCTCAGACTGATAACTGTAGGAGCTTACCAACTTTCCATCTTTCCAAGGTGTTTCAATCAGTTACCCGTCTGAATGGGTATAACTACAGGCTTTTACCTCTACTTACCCTCACAGATCATTGTATAGGGCGTAAACCATCGTCACTACTGTTCCGAGTGCAGAATGTGTGGGTGCACTCAAAACGGGATTCATAACGCGAAAACTTGACTATTCCATACTAAATATGGTGAATACTCTTTTTATTAACCTTAATTGCTATGAATCTCCATCTGAAGCCGGTAGAACCTCCGTGTGACTATAGCTGTCAGCTCCAGCCACCCATCTCCATCAAAACTTGCCTAGGAAGGAAAGTACACATACCTCCTTGCCGATCGTAGATCACATTCCCACCAGCTGATTTCACTTTTGAATGTTTTTTCTCTTATTGAAATCCAACCTATAATAACGAGAGGCTATTTGTTTCAGAGCATGGGAGCAAACCCGTGGGAAAACTGCAATCGTCTGTTTTCCACTAGGATTTCCTATTTCGACAATGCTGAAGTGTCGTATTCATCACCCTACTGTCGTGGAAATGTTCGAGCAAGCTTGGCAGATTACTATCAAAATTATAAATTATGCAAAATTTAGGTGTTACTCGTACTATGAATGCAATGGCTTTTTAGACTAGAACGCCAACTTTGCAAATGCCTGAATTGTGATCATTCATCGAAAAATCTTTTTTGTTCTATTATTTTCAAATTCGTCATACTGTATGCGAAGAATTTACAGATTTCAAAATAGTTATTATGCAAATAAAGGTGGTAGCAAACTTGTGAAGGATTTGACGATCAGCTCCTCTCGGTAGGATCTCAAGTCTTCCATACGAAAGAAATTTCAGGTTGGAGAGTAGGGGTAGAGTACAATCCCATTCTTCACTATGTTTCCAAAAACCAGCATCTTGCTCTTTGACGGTGTTCTTCAGCGTACTAAAGAATGCCAAGGTTCACTCATAACCAGTAAAGCCGGTTGCCCAGTTATAGCAGCTGCATTGAGGCAGAAAAGTAGCTGGACCACTTGCGATTACAGGGTGAAGAACTTCTCAAGAAGCACCTCATGGAGAAGAGGGTAAGAAGAGGGCATTAGTTCACTTCATATGAGAGAAAAGGGTTCAAAGGGGTTACAGCAGACCTTGTAAATTGGTGTCGGTAACTGTCATAGAAAGATGAAAANGCCTTAAAAGCACAGTTCACGATAATTTTGAGGTACCCGTCTTTACTCCGAAAGCGAAAGCATAGATTGGGAACAGTTCATCGGTAGTGGAGGAAGCGAAAAAATTCGCCGATTTCGAGGAAAACAAGCTCCTTATAAGTAGGGAAAATAGAGGCTGGACGAGATTACCATGGCGGAAATAACATGGAAGGGGGATTCGGACGAGATTTCAGTTTTGCAATTGCTTGAAGAGCTGGCTACATCAAGCCAGAACTCTTTAGGATAAACTTCCATTGCGGCTTTAGGTCATGATAAGTTATTTGAGCCTCCTACGTGGGTTTCTTTGTAAATGGTCAGCCTCTACAATGCCGGTGAAACTCGTTTACGCATACACACTTTACAATTACAATTACACAATCTCCAAACTTTTATAAGCTCAAACTAGGCCATTTTCTGGCATGATAGCGCTAGATATATGTAGTATACGAGGGAGACTTGAATTTATCCTATGGGGGATTCTCAGTATTCATTTTTATCGTGAACTATGTCTTTAACACAGAATCAGAACACTCCCATGTCTTGTCGGAAACGGCACTAGGGTGCACGTGAACCAGACGCTACAAAAAACCTTTTTTTATCCGACTTTTTTATTCGAGGGTCTGTAAAGGTGCTGTGCGGCCGTGTTTGTTGGTTTTGCATCAGCGATTGCCCCAGAATGACCTGGATCTGGTTCAGAAAAAATTCCAGCTTATCATGTGCCCTTTTAAAAAGTGAAATCTCGCTACCATGTTTCCTTAATATAAGCTTTCCCTTTCGAACTGGTATTTCAGTGTGAGCCAGCGGAATGAACCAAAGAAAATCTCTCTCCTTTGTGGATCGAGGAAGGTCCCAATACTGAAATGGTAGGCGCATTCCAGCAACTGTTCAAACCACTTGGGCTGACATAACTCAAAGTCAGTTTTTTATTTCCGATCTGATAACCTGGGCCATACATCTCAGAGGGTTCCCAAACAACAAGAAGTCGGAAGCGATAGAACATAGATTTAAGAAAAACAGAGTGCATGATTTTCAGCATCGCATGGAGTTGCAAAAAATTCTGATTTCCAGTAGTATCTAGAGCTAAAATCAGGGAAAAAGTGGCAATTTTTCATGACCGAGAGTTTTTCCTTGAGTATGAAATACCCTTTCAGACGCAATCTCTATCCACACAACTGCCGAAAGGCCGGACACCACTAACTTTATGATTCAGAATGAAGAACTACTCCGCTCTGAAGCACACGGTTACACNGTTTTGTGGGAGGTCTTTATATTCAGGCTCTCTCTTAATTGTGAATCTCATTTGAAAAGTACGAAAACTTAATTTTGCAAATGTAGTTGTAGAATCAATGAAGATGCACATTAATGTTATCAAAAGAACGCGAGCACTCAAACAGGAACTATTCGGGTACACGTTCGACTCCATTCCGAGGTCAAGTGGGCATAACTTTCGCTTCACGAATTGAGGCGAAAACCAGTTGCCGATACTTAACAAATCAAGAGCACTGTTTTTATTTTGTACTTGATTCTAGTCACTACAACAGTAGTCAATTCTAGAATCATTGGCACTTCTTCAGGGCTAGAATTTAATTCGTGCTTGTTGGTCTCCTTTTCAAAAGAACGTTCTCTAACTGCGATTGGAAGAAAAACGGTTCCGAAGTAGATAGCACTATCTCAAGACTACTCACGAGGGCACTTTTTGATTTGCCTCAGAAAGAAGAAGGGTAGCTTTACTTGTAAGTGTGATCAACATCGCTGTATATGTACATTGAACTCTGTTTATAGGTAATGCTCCGGGAAGACTTTGCTTAGGCACTTTTACTGCTTTATAACCTAAAAGTTCAATTTCTCTACATTTTTACAGCTCTAAAGTATCACATTGATAACCTCGAATAAACAACATTACTGCTATGTTATAGAAAAAATTGGCAAGCAAAACAGTTACTTATAGCGAAGGCACGGAAATATCATCAGAAATCAGAATATCGTTTTAAATTATCACGAAATATACTAGAAAGTTATGCTTTTTTTTCAAGATTTTCTCGCAGATTCATATTTACAATGACTATTGTGGTATATTAATTGTTGAAAGTGTCACTAAGGCCCAGTAGTAATGAGCTTTTCCTTATTATATTTATTCTAATATGTGACTTGAAGAGAAAATTTTCTGTGAGAATTTATTGAATTGAAGCGGAACTCCGTTCGAGCGTCTTTTCGTTATTTCTTCATGAGCCCACCCAGCAGTAGCTTTGAGATAATCGTGTCGATTCATGAAAAAGCGACATACTTTGGCCACGGGGGGAGGATAATCCTAGCGAAATGATCAGGGAGGGCGTCCAATGGTCAGGAGGGGAAACCAGAACCTTCTCGAGCTAGTTATACGGCTTCGTTGTCCTCGGAACCACCACGTCGTTGAGTCCACGAGTACTCGTCTAATGTCAAAGCGATTTCTCATATTTAACCCATTTACCTCTTAGGTAACAATTTCTTCCGTAATTAGGTCGCCCACCCACGTTTCGGCAGGGGTGAGGGAGAAAACATCTGCATATTGAGGTACAGGGTCTAGCTTTTCAGCCCAGTACATCTTTCCTGTCTGGCTCACGATCCTGGCCCTCGGCACTCGTCAAATTTCATTTTCCTTTCCTTCGTCCTATTTGTAACCGTCAAAATCCAGTCTCTCTTACAGTAATGCCCTCAGAAAGATGCAATTAGTCACTTTCAAGTCTTTTTTGAGGTTTTCAAAGTAATTTGCCAACTCTATTTGAAATTTCGTGAACTTTGAAGGGCTGTTCTGGTTAAATTAGTTAATAATTGGTCGCCTTCCTTCATGAAGCCTTTCAATTCTTTTCTATTATTCTCTCTCGGCGAAGGCCAGTTCCTTGCAGACGATAGTCAATTGAGGTGGTACCAGTTTCGATTCCCCATTCGGAAAAAGCATGCAAGCGGATACATCGTCTTGTGCTTAATCGTTTCGCCACCCATTCAAGCACTTTTTCGTTCTCCTTACGGAAGCCATCGGAGTAGACAGTGTGTGTTCAAAAGCCCAGTCGCTCCATGCTCATAACTTACTCGGTCATGCCACTTTTCAGTAGTTTTCCTCGAGTTTCAGGGTAAACTTTGCCTTTGTCGACCTCTTTCGAGTTACCTACTACCTATTTCGTCGGGATGCAGTAATACTACCCCCTCTAGAGGCAGATTGACAGCTAGATGGATTGGAAACTAATCCTGGTGGTCAGGTGGTGTCAGAACAGGAGAGAGGAGATAGCTGCAATGGGGCTGCACGCTCTGTTGCGTTCCATCCGACGATGGACCGACGACGACGACGACACTGACCGT